CCTACATACAAAACAAAAGCAATGACAAAATGCAGAATATGCAAAACAAACACATTTATACTATGATTGGTTCAGAATGGGACCAACCCAGTTTCAGCAGCAAGCCACCAAGAATTCAAGCCAGCTTTGCTTTTCTTGATTTTGAGAGTGTCTACTTACCTTGAACAGCTGCACTCCAATACAAGCAAACATGAACTGCAGCAGAGTTGTAACAATCATGATATTACCAATAGTTCTAATAGCCACAAAGACACATTGAACAACATGCTGGAAATTAAAAAAAAAATATCTATTTTAATACAACTTGTTACTTAGTATCACAGAATACATACCACAGAAGTCTATTTTATTACACTCAGATTATTTTTTTTAAATTACAATTTTTGTGTTGTCAGTATTATACTTACTACCATAATTAAAATCGTTTTCTAAATTTGTCTAGTAGTCCGTTGACATAGACCTATCAACATCAATTGACTAAAAATTACATAAGCATTATGGAAAACCAGTTAAAATACTGCTCTGATGTCTTGGTTCACAGCAAGTATTACAGCCAAAATCTGCTCTCCACAGCACTGATGTCCCTTCACATACAAACTGCTGTAACTGTGGGCAGAACCTGGCCTAGGATGTTTAATAATCAGAATCCAATTTATGTCTTTGCCCTGTGAACTTCTCTAGGTCATTTTTCTTGTGCAAGAATTTTTAACCTGAGGCAGGACTGAAGAATCAGGCCAACAGAAATATAACTTAAAAAATAAAAATAAACACCTTAAGTCCTTTTGCTCTGTTTATTGCCCTTAGAGGCCTCAAGACTCTTAAAACTCTGAGGATCTTCACAACTGAGATAGCACTTGATCTAGGGGGGGAAAAAAAAACCAACAGTTATTGTGTTACTTCTAAGGTAACTGATTTTATTACCGAGAATAACAATGTTCTTGTAACTTCCTTATACATAAAGTCTTCCTTATATATGTCTTAATATATATACACAAAATTTTAAGTCTTTATTGATCCTTTATTAATATTAGAAAATAGTATCAATCTCAAACTCCATAAAAATTATTTTGATTTCTGGAGCAACTTGAGAATTAACAGCTCAGAAGCTTGTCTGACACTGTAATGCAGTTAAGTTTGGTCAGGAGTAAAATAGTCCCCAAAGTATTTTTCAGTGCTGACAAGCTCTTTCGAAGACACTATGTAAGTCCTGTAAATCAATGAATACTTTAATTTCCAACCAGCTGGAGGTGAAAATATCTCAAATGACTCACATTCTCTTTGTTTAAGTAGCTAGTACTGAGGAGACAGTAGCAGACAGCCTTTTAAAGAACATACTGTGAATCTGAAAGTTTGCGTAAAAGGTATTCTAGTATAAGCAGAATACAAAGCGGGAAGCAGCTGGCTGACACCCATCCCTTGCTCTTTTCTAAGTCACTAAGGGTTTCACAGAGGATTTTAAATAAGGCACAACTGCTCAGTGAATCAATAAGCACCTTCAGACTCTTTTATCACATTTAGCCTATTCCAAACAAAGCAAGAAAATCTCTTCACTACCACCTACAGTCCTGATTAAGGTACAACTTCTTTCCCCTTCAAATATTGTGAAGTTACAAATGCCAGTAGGTCAATGCTGAAAGAGCAAGCTTGTAGAACTAGATTATAGATGTGGCAATAGCACAAAAGAGGGTATATAAACCTCCTGAAGCTTCAGGAATTACTTACTACACAACACAGTGTCATGGTGCTCTTCCTTGTTCTTGATAATAGTGGGAAGCAGTAGTTTCTTTCCAACTCATATTAGTAATGAGTTACCACACTCTCCATATAAAGCACTACCTCTTGCCAGTCCCAACCCTGAGTACTGATACTGCACAGCCGCACACAATGGGGGAAGAAAAGGAGCTGAAACACTGATTTCAGTGTAAAACCCCAAAGCAAAAATAAATCACTCACATTGTAAGTATAGTACTTACTGAATACCAAATGATACCAGAGAAACACCCACAACCAGCAAATCCAGCAAATTAAAATAATTCCTGCAGAAGGACCCTTTATGAAGGAACGCTCCGAAAGCTGTCATCTAAAAATAGAATTGTTACACGTTTAGTCTACATTTCAGTTTATTCAAATTCACATTTAGGCTGTTTACAAGACACTTGCCTACAGTGTGAACGCATAAAATACTATCTCACTTTCTAAAAGCAATTGAGATATAAAACAATTCCACTATGTAGATTAAATCTTTCATTTAAATGATAAAAATACCACTCAAGCAACACCAGTAAATGGGTTAATTGTATCTGATGTCAACAAATGTTTTATTTGGTGTAAGAACTGATTAGGCTAAGGTGATCACACTGAATTGATTTGGCCTTTGTTAGAAAAATTACTACAACAACCATAAAATTTCCATGCTTACTGAACTACAAGGTACAGATTCTGACTCCTAATCCTTCATACTGTCTTAAGAATTAAAGGAGCTGAAAATGTATTGCAAAAACCTGAGAATCAAATCTGGTACAGAACCAGCACAAGGCTGTCGTAAGGCAGCACTACATCGGTATTTCCCTTTGGCTCACAGGAGACATGTTAATATCTTGGAATAACCTGGAATGACCTGTAGGTTGTTTTGTGTTACCTGTGGACAAGGGTCCCCAAGTTTTGCTGGTCTGTGGGGAATATCAAACACTGCTCTCCCTATCAGACTTTCTCTTCATTTTTCGCTTTCTGTGCCTAGATTATGATGAACGAATCACACAAAGGGTATCTTGTGAAAGAACCTGCATGCATCATTTGCAGGTTTCACTAGGAGCCAGTGATAGAGGCTCTATTAATTATGGCTGCAGACAAAGTCTGGGCAGATGTTCTCAGCTATTGCAAAGCTGAATTGAGCTCCTAAATCTCTGATTAGACTCTTATCATAACGGCAAGTAAGCACCAGTTATAAAATGCACAGAAGAATCCGATTAAGCCACTAGAAGCATAGAATCTTCATTTAAGTAGAATTTTGCATGCGTTTTTCCATAGTTGTGGATTAAGACTGAAACACTGAAACTAAAAAGTTGAAATTAAAATAAGGATACCTTTGAAAAATACCTAGTAGTCAGTTTAGGCACAGAGATTCTAATTTCTTCAGCCTTAAGGTCCTCTTAAAAAGACCTGAGTACTCTCAGCTAATCATTGTTTTCCACAGTTAAGCAAACTCAGTGCCAGCCAGAGAACATATGGTATTGACTATGCATTTGAAACCCATTACTTTCTATTCTGTTCTGTTCCTCAAGATGAAATGAAAATACTTTATTTCCTTTCCTCTTGCAGGAGATTATTACATCTTTCAAGACTGTTCCACAATGTAGAACAGAGTGACTGTCAACGGGCATCTCAGTCCACTGTGTCAATAGTCACATGCACAACTTGTAGGCCTTTTGCATGAGAAGCTATCAGCGTCAGTGCAAGTTATATATCTGCAAAGGAATGAACTACAAAAGATGCATTTTTCTTGGAAACCCTTCTCTCCATATTCTCATGTTAAACTTTCCTTTGTTATCAAAATACTAACTGTTCCATAAAACTAGAAGAGTAACACTTATTTAAAGCTTTAACCTATGCCATGGCATGAGACATGTAATAAAATTTCCCATAAATTCCTAGCTCTCTTCACTTACAGCTGTATAGAACATGGCTAAACTTATTAAAATCAGTGGGAGCTGAGCACTAAAATAAGCCTGAATATCAAACTTACATCTGTTTATAAATACACTGTAGTATGTTATCAGTTAGCAGCACACAAAGTTTCATGTAAAGACTCACACAAAAGTGAAGATATATTGACCTAAAAATACAGGTGAAGTATCTGTCTCTCCATCTTTATATGGAGACTCATATTTCCATCACTACAAATCCGAGCAGAAGCATTTGACTAAAGCTCTCTATAGCAAATCATTCTATCCTTTGCATAGATCAAGACCAAAGCGAAGCCCAGAGCAGATTGGAGATGGTGAGCGCTGTCACACTGCCTTTGGTGGAGCAGATGCTGCAGGACACTCAACAAGCTGAGCACCTGGGGCACCACCAGTGCCACTCCTTCCCTCCTGCCTGTAATTCCACACCAGCAGGGACTGGTTTAAATGGTGTAGGATTAGCACAGCTGGGGCAAGGTTAAAAGCACAAGACCCTAACTTGACCTATGCTCTGATGTTGTCACATTTCCTAAGTACTGCAAACAGGATGGTAAACTGGATTTCAATGCCACGTTGGGTTTACATAAGAGAATTTGTGAATGCTTTAAACTGATGTTGCAGCTTTTCTGTTATTCAGATCCTCGACACCATATAATGTGGAAATCCTCATGTTTGCAGACCAGTCAAAAAGATAGAGCACAGGGACACCCTTCACGAGCTGAAAGTTACTCTGTTTTAATGCTTGTTTTTTGAACATTTACAAGTTTCTTCACTGCAGCTGATAATATTGCCTCTGGTTATCTTGATTTCAGTTTCATATACTTTTTACTTGGAAGTTAAGGAATGCCATTGTTACTGCAAGTCTAGCCTCAAATTTACGCCTTGCAGAATACACACAGCTTCTGTATGACTTTGATACTGTGGAAAGCACAGCGCAAAACTCAGCATGGAAGACGTGGAGGACTCCAGCCATAAGCAAGCAAAGCCAGTGTCTGGAATATGTTAGTAAAGCAGGCACTGTATATGTACTCGTGTCATGTTCTGGATGTCCCTTACATTTTTATAGTACAATTTATTATCCTTTATAAATACATGTGAGTGCACTGCAGGGCCAAGCTTCCTGGAGAAAGTGGAGTCAGGAGCATCAACATTTTTGGCTATGATGGTGCTTCTTGTTTCTTTGTAATATTTTACAATGCCAGATTTCAGCAGTCCAAGCTCTAGACCTTCCTGCTTTCCCTGGATAACTTTTGAGTGTTAGTGGGAATGGTTTTTTTTCTTAGCACATCCAGTTATGCCTCTATGCCACACTTTATAATTCCTCTGTCTCCTAGAGAAACACAACTGGAACTGCAGGAGCTATGCAACCTGCGGCTCAGTGCATGTGGAAGTTTACCAGCTCTCTTCTGCCAGAGAAATGGTGGTAACATTTTGTATGGCTTCTCAAATTCAGAGTTGGGAATTAGTTTGATCTAATGCTACAGTTCTCTTTGGTGCTTCGTTCTTCCATTTAGTTTGGCCTTTCCCTAGCATTGAAAAAACTGGATATTTATTTTAGAATGCTACAAATGTTGTAAGATTAATCAATACTATAGCAAGCTCCTCACTGCTGAAAATGAGAAGGGGATAAACGTTAAGTCTGGGAGAATATTTGCAAACATAAAAATAGTCTACTACTTACAGTACAGCTTATCTTGTAAACAGCCCAAATATTGCATCAATTAGTATAAATCAAACTGCATTATGAAGAGTATGCACAGCAACATGAGCAAAAGCTGGGAGAAGAGATTTTGTTAAGCTTAATTCTCAACTGGAAATGCAAAGTTTATGTACAGATTCTTAGTGTACCAGAAATGCTTGAGCATATAGATCAGGGTTACTCAACCAAAAACTGATGGTGAATATGCACAGCACAAAACTTTTAGGAATTACGTGTAAATCTCTGAAAAAATATTTTGCCGCCAACATTTTGATTTCTTTAATGAGTATTTTCTTACTTGTGAACCTAATCCTCAGTTATATGGCTTCCTTGCCAGAGTAAGCTTCATAAATCTAAAATCTGAGTAACCCCAATGGATATTCTTAGTAATCAGTACACAAACTATACATTAAAATGCCAATTTTTGACTCATGCATGGGTAATACATTTAAGCAAGCATATTTATGCCTTTCTGTGTATTTAAATGTATGCCCAAGAGAAATGCAAACTCTCTTAGTATGTAGATAGATAAATGCAAGATATCTTGCAAGTCCTATTGCAAGAAAATAGTTATCTACTATTTTAGCTTTGTGAATATAGTTCAGCAAAAGAAATGAGAAATTACATGCTCCCTCCTTAAAAGACTGATTATCTCTTTGGAAATGCCAGAGCAAGGAGAAGGAAAAGCTCATGCGCAGTGATTATTTTTCCCTTTTCTGACAGCTGGAAGTTTAAAAAGGGTAAAAAATGAATTATTAAATTCATGTAATGATAAAAAAATCAGCTTCTTCATGCACCCAATGGTAAAAAAATAACCAATCAAAACTATGAGGAACTGTCAAATAAAAAAATCCTCTGATTTAAAAAAAGTTTAGCTTTGATCGCTTAGAGAAAAGGCGAAGAACACTTCAAGTGCCTTTTCTTGGCAGGTGACACACAAGGAAAATCCTTTTAAACAAACTTCCTTTAAAAACCTGTTACCTTCAAAATGATCTCAAATGTAAACATACTAGTGAAGACATAATCTGCATACCCTAGGATCTGGAAGGTAAACAAAAAGTTACAAACATTATTGCTAAAGCTGCTTTTGAGCTAACAAGGATCAATTAACAATGCATTACCTTTAACAGGATTTCAACAGTAAAGATGGCTGTGAAAGCATAGTCAAAGTAACCAAGTATCTGCAAGGTATAATACGTGCCACAGTAAGAAATCCATCTATTAATAATTTTTTACAATTTAGACCACATGCACAACAACACCTGAATTAATCTAAGTAGGCAGATGGGGAATTTAGACAAAGTAGTTTAAAATTCCAGCTATCGTGCAACCACTTTTATTTACTTAAAAATTTATCAGATGCCACTGTGATATTAGATCTCACCCCTAAAGAGTTAATAGGACCCAACAAGCAACACTGTCTTTTTAATTCAGCCTTTCCTCTATCAGCTTTCACAGGTACTTTCTTCAGCGTTTAGCAGAGATAGAGAATATTATATAAAGAATAAATACTTATAAATAACGTCTTTTTTTTTTTAAACGGAAGTATTGCATCAAAAAATAAAACTCCCAATGGATGCTTCTAGATTGAACATCATTCTACATTCTGCTACATTATATTGTTCCTGTACAGATTGGGCTAGAGTGTCACAGTGCAAATTAACAAATAACTAATTACTTAAAATCAGCACTACAACTCTTCTTTCTTGAACTTGGGAAACACGGCAGTGATTTTCTGTAGGAAACTGAAAAGAACCCACAACAGTTGCATAGTGATATGCAAATTTTACAGAGGTTGTGGATGTGATATTAACCTCACTGCTGTCAATAGGACAGCTGCCATATATTTTACTACAACCAAGATTTCGCCCTTTCGAGGTGGCCATATCGCTAGTACCTAATTTAGCGATTGACATGCATTGCAGTAGGGTCCAAGTCAGTTTCAAGGATCCAGCAATCCAACTAGCAAACAGTTGTGCACAAAAACATGTTGCCTGTGGCTCAGCAACTAATAAAATGGGAAGGAGAAATAAAATAGACAACATACAAAGAAAGTATTCCTATTAGAACATATGAAAGGAAATAAATCTTCCCCCCATGTTCAGTTGAAGATCACATCCTTCGGCCCCTTGCTGTGGCTGAAAAAACAGGCAAATACTAAAGCCATTCCACAAAGATTAATTGGTAAAAGAATTCATTCTAGATTTAAAAGAAAATATTTAAAGGCATTCCAGCTTGTAAACTTTTATTCCCTTGCTGAGCTGGCTGGTTGAAGGAACGTGATCATTCAAGGTAGCAACAAGAAAAATATGCAGGTCTGGTGCATTTGTGAATATTTACAACAGGGCAATGCCTTCTTGAAATGATTAACACATTTTACCTGTCTGTGTCCCAAATAGGAATGATCCTTTCAGTTATCACCACTCTCCAGTCACATTTTCCTAGTACTCCTCTATTTACAAAAACAATTATCAGCCCTTAGAGCCATTTTTACAATAACAATTTCACTATTCCCAACCAGCTCTCTTTTTATCTATTAGTGTGATTTACACAGGATTGCACTTGTCCAGTTTTATAAATACGGGAAGCACACAGCTCTACTGAATAGTACATGAAGAGTGTCTTTGCGCTTTGACCTCCTTTTACCTTTGAAGAAAGTTATAGCTTTTTGGTTTTTACTAATGATATCAAAAAAACGTTCAGAGAGTGACAACAGCCAAAAGAGGGCATTCAGAGGCTGCATCTACACTAGCAAGAACTACAGAGATACAACCTCTACTGACCTAGTATGCCCATCTTTCCTGTAAGAGGTGAAAGAGTTTCTCTAACTCCACAGCAATCTCTACAGATCAATTTATACCTAAGACAGGAGAGGCCTGGAAGTTCTGTCAGACTATCTCAGAAGCCCCCACAGACTATTACCAAGTTGCATTGTCTCTGCTATTTCATACCTAATCTAAAGCATGCACAACTCACAATAACATGAGAATTTACTTCACCACTAATACAAGTACAAGTTAAACTTTAGTGGTCACGACAGCAGATTTACGTTTGTTTCTCTGTCCAATAATTGTGCATTTGAGTAACAAGCAAGTCTTCTACTATATTAAGAACTTAAAATGGGGGATTCAGGAATCTGTTTTAGGAGAACACAGATGTTTACTCACCACGTAAAATACGCTTTTACTGAGTAACAGAAACATTCCTGAAAGTAATTTTCTCACATATATTTTGTTTCTACAAGTATACCTAAAAAAGGATGCAGAAACATTTCCAAAATTTTTGGTCTGTACATAGGTTGAAATGGCATTTGACGCTGAATCAAAGCAAGCGTTGGGCATGCTCTGATCCTCGTCTTACGTGTGAGTTTAGAAAAAAGTGAAACTTGTTTAGTGTCTGATACGGCCAACCAGGAATCCAAGGATCTTCGGGTCCGATGTGGTGGTACTCAAACTCAGTGAGGCCACACTAGCTTCTTTGAAAGAAGAGTTAGTATCCTTACAGATCCATACACTCACTTAACGGAGTGACACTCTGAGTTCCCCAAGACCATACAATAGAGCCAATGAAAGAGAAGAGAGGACAGGTCAGAGTCTATTCCCAACATTTATAAACAGTGATAATTTTAACTGGCATTTTTAAATCAGTGTCAAACACTGAGAGCCACTAAGAGATTCAGGAAATGCATATCAGGTACACCAGCTGAAAATTATGAAAAAATATGAAAATTGTAAAGATTATGCTCAGCTTGAGCACATTTTATTTTTATATATTTATAACTAACAAATGAAAAACAGTATGTACATAATAAACGGTTTTAATACCCAAGATGTTCCATCAATAAAGTTACTTGTCTTTAAAGACTTATGTTTTTTAAAGCAAAAAGAATTAGAAATTTATAACTTGAAAAAGGAAAAGGAAAGTTTCTGAAGTTGAAAACTAAAATCAGGCACTAGGCCCAAAGGATATATTTATCCTTTGTGAGGATATATTTATCTTCAGACACATAAACATATATGTAAAGATATATTTATCCTCAGACAGAAAAATGAAGGGCTTACATTATTTCGAAAAGAGTGGCTGCGAATTGGATCTTCTGCTGCTAGGGAAACACTGCTCAGCATGATGAAGACAAGGATGAGATTGGTGAAGATGTGGTGATTGATGAGTCTGTGGCATCCCACTCGAATTCTGAAGAAGAGAAACAAAAATATACCATGTGTGCAAATAGAATTCAGCAGACAGCTAATGTACATGTTTTCTATTTCTTGGCCAACAGTGACAGAACATAGCAACCATCAGCAGTTAAAAGCAGTCCAAGTGTTAAAGCTATTACTCTGATTTCTAAAAATGTAAATAAATTCAGAATCCAACCCACCTGTGGTGAAGATGCACTTATCAAAGGAATCTGAGAGATTTCCAAGCTCCTATCGGTTTTCATTTGGTTACGAATGCCACTACAAGTTCCAGTGTTTGTACCACTGCACACATACAGAGGCCAATGTCAAAAGGACCAACGCTAGATAGTAAGTCATTTCAGATCCCCAGTTTGGTTTGATTCTTACTAAACCTGTCAAAAATACTCATTTGGTGAGATGCAGCTTAGGCTGCAGATCTTATTGTGCTACTTAGAGACTCAATCCAAATCAGAATCTCCTGTGAAGATGTTCTTATAGAATTACAGGACAAGTGGTTGTTGAAGATTACAGAGCTGCCAAGTTGCAGCCACGTAACATGAAGTGGAACTGAACATATGCTTCGAGTCACTGAGCCCAAGGTTATTACAAATGCTGTTGAGCACCTTGGTAGAATAGGTTGGGATTAAAGTGGCAAAAAGGCAGGATCAGGTTTGTAAATGGCTAACACTTAAGCTGTCTAAATTTTGTTGAGGAATCAGAAGGTTCTTGAGGAAAATGTCTTCTCCTGTTATTAAGTAGATGATTTGAGTTGAGTGTATCTTAGTTAAGCAAGATGGAACATTTTGGCCTGAGAATATGTAGCATTAGTTGAGGCCAAAAGCAATTTGACATGTTCAACAAATCTAATGCTTTTGCATTCAGCATATGTATTCTTAAAATTACTAGTTTAAATAGTTCTCTTTCCAGTTTGTTTGAAAATTCTGAAAAGCTTTAGATAAACCCATGCAATGAATAAGATAAAAGCCCAAAACATTGCATCTTCATCATCACATCATCTTCTAAACTTAATTGTGATGACCTCTACCACTCAGAAGGCAGCATTCTCCCTTGCCAAACAACTCTTAAGCTCCTTTCTAAGAGTGCTCATGACATTGCCGTATATAAACGAAACAGCTATGTTCAGTCTGTAGGAACTGAATTCAGTTCACTTGTTCACTTCCATCCAACAGTCAGTAATGACTTTTACTGACTACTGAAGCTTGCTTTCTTCATCAGTGTAGAACTTCAAATGCTCTGGAGTTGAGCAGTGTAAGATTCCAATTCCCCCCAAAATCCAACTAGTATTCTTTATTTTTGAAATAATTTGCCTTGTCTGCTTGAATCTGCGAAAAAGCAATTACCCCAAGAGGAATATATACATCCTTTCTCCTTCTCTTCTCTTTTTCTCTCTCATTTTCTCTTCTCCTTCCTCACCTATATTGCTCCACAAAGGTTACTAGGGTTACTAGGAATCCTATCTCATGTCGAATACGCTCAGATCTTATGTCACAGCTTTTACATCCAGTGACTAACATACTAAATAGCTAATATACATTAAAGGGTACTTTTCAGATGTGCAGACTTGACAGACTATATGTATAAAATGCTATTATCTTCAACAGTGGGAAGCAAATTAATGTATTTATCCAATTCTTTTAATTTACCAATTTGGAAAATTTTAGGAGAGAAGACAGTCTCTCTGCTGTTGAAGATACTGGAGTTCTATTCCTAACCTCACTGGAAGGTGGCCTGTTCCTTCACTGCTAAACCGTGATGGACTAAAAAAGTACTTTTCAAAATTGTATTTACGGATTGGTGCTGCTGAAAATGAAGAAGGCACTCCCTTCAGGGATTGGTGTTATCTTCTCCTTCATATTTAGTTCCGATATTCTACGGGGACGTGGGCCTGCTGGTACCTCTGGTTCATCCTCCTCATCTTCTTCATCTTCACCTACTTTAAATTAAGCACTTTTTACTACAAAATAAAAAGCATTGAGGTTCTGTTCATGCAATATAAAAGCATGGCTTGTCTTAAAATATATATGGCTTATAGGAAATATGGCTTTAAAAACCTATGAATCAATATATGAACATCCATATAGTTGTCACAAGCTTATATACATGTTTATGTGCATGCAGGGGTGTGTGTGTAAGTGACCTGAGTGCACTAACAGGCTTTATTGGCCCTGACCAGCCTCATCTGGGGACTCCACTCACACCCCCTGCACATGGGCTCTGGAGTCCCACTGATGCTCAGCCCCTGACCATCAGTCTATTCCTGAGCAGAGTTGTAGGGGCATGGAACTCTGTGCACTGGTTGGACACAGAGTGCTCTAAAGGCAGGGCAGATTTCTGTAACAGGCATACAGACAGACAGAACAGATTTTTAGATACATATGTTCACTGGACTGGAAGAAGCCAAGACAAAACTGACCAAATATCATCAGCCCTGGAATGTCCTTTTTTGCCAAACATTTCAGAAAAGTTTAAAATTTGCTCTCACATCCAGATAGTATTACTACAGCAGTAACTCTCATATGCTGTTTGTACTGTCTAGGAAGCTGCAGGAAAACATAATACTTGGCAGCTTACAGGCCCATTTGTCCACTGATAACAGAGCACAACTTCACCAACTTCAAAGGAATTGCTTCAGTGTTCAGCAAGGGCAAGTTTAGGACATTTTGGCAAACAAATGTGTTTGTCTTCTGGCTGGTATTCACATACCTGGTACATCACAGGCTGGATAGGGATCTTTATCCTCATCCTCTCCTTCTCCATATTCAGCAATTGTCACCTATAGCAAGGAAAGGGATGCATAAGAAGAAAAATAAATTTAAATATAGCTTGGAGTATAAATTTCAACAGAAAGCAAAACAAATAAGCTTCTGAAGTCAGGAAAGCTATCTCTGTTTAGTCTGAGTTTTCTTAAACAGGGTAACTAAGAACAGAGGAGAGCTGACAGTTTAATACATATTTTTAAAAGATGATTTTTCTACAGTATTCACATTCTCCTGGCTGCGTAGATCACAATGAGAATATAACCAACAGCCTTTGGTAAAAATTACCAAGAATGTTTGAACATTCTACTAAGAGTTTATCATTCACTAATCTCTTCCATTGGATTATCAGGTAAAATACCTACAGGGATCCTGAAACAACGTCAAATTGTTCTAACATTAACTATTTCATGCTCTAAGAGCTTGCCTTCCCAGGATATCCTGAAACCAAAAGGATTTTCTGGATTAAGAGATTCTGTGAGGATGCAAAGCACCAGAACTAAGTTTCCTTTGCCTGGAAAAAAATGTAGGGAAGATGTGTTCATAAAAGAAATTGTACAATGCACAGCAGTCTTGAAAAGTTACTCCCTAGCAAAATCAGTAAAACTGCTTCTTAGAAAAGACACAATTCTTAGAATAAACACCTTACTATCCTTGGACTTCTTTTGGTCACCTTCTGACTTCTCACTTTTTTTATTTTCCAGACTCTCTTTTCTACAAAACAATACAATAACAATTACAAAGCACGTCATATAAAGACAGAAGATTTTAAGTGAACTATACCCATCTTAAAACTATATAGTAAAATATCTAAAATTATATGCACAGCTGCAGGTGTCAAAGCAGTAAGATCTATTGCATTTGAATGCAACGATCCATTTAAAATATAATAATTTTGAATATAACTCCAGAATCTAATCCCTAAAAAATTCAACTCATGATCATTACTCCTTTCTAGAGGGATAAACTGTGCCCTTGAACTCATACAAACAACTTGCACTGACTTCAATAGGCCTCCACCAATTTCAAAGGAAGGTTTTTCTCTTGCCCATATAAGGCTTAGAGAACTGATTCCACAGGGAGTTGTGCACTAGCAACAACAGATACATTCTTCTGATTGCGCAATAAATCCTACTGTTGCAGTGGTTAAATACCAGCTGGCTTATCGTTTTGTCCTTAATACATCCCATTTTCCCAATTACTACCCAACTTTTAACTAAAATCATATTAATTGGATCTAATTTTAATGTCTAGGTAAACTTTTTTCATTTTTTTTTCCCTGAGTCCAATAAATTTTGAAGATGGTAAACACATTTATATAAGGTAAAGAATATCTTTATGAAAGAATTCAGTGCCCCCCTCCTTCCCTCTCCTGCTTATTCAACATGCCCATGCTGGTTTACCTCGCATTCTTTTTCCTTTCCTTTTCTTCAGCTTCTTCTTTCTGAGCTGTATTTAGACTTTCAGCATCTGCCAAGTTATCCACAGCAATGGCCAAGAAGACATTTAACAAGATATCTAGTTCAAATAATTTTAAGGACATTTGGCCTTACTTTACTTGTTTGGTTTATTATCAGCATAAACACTGACAATGTGAGAGATATAAAACACACATTCACCACATACAGCGTAAAGATTTGTGATGCTGGACTGTAGTGCAAATAACACTCATTTAATGGACTAGATTAATACTGGGTGTAAAATGAGCAGAGATCCATTTGGGCCACTGATTTTAAAATAGCACTATACTTGACATTTTTTAAACAAGTTAAATTCAACTTTATGCTAGCCTAAGCAAGTTTCAAACATGAAACATTGTCTATTAAAAGTGAAGACTGTTCAGACATTTTCAAAAGAACTTCTGAGAATGACACTAGTTTCTGTTGCTACATGGGGCTAAGGAAGTATTTCCACTGAAGGCAGGGAAGAGGAATGCTTCAGCGGACTTAATCCTAATTGACTCATCATTTCTCCATGCAGATTTCTCTCATCTGATCCCTGCACTATACAGTGGATCACTGGCTCCACTGTCAGCGTGTGTCAGAATTAACAGGGCTGTATCAAGCATCAAAATGATGAACTACTGCCACAGATATCAGACTACATCCCTGCATTTTCAGAGGGACAGATGTCAAAGAGACAAGCAGGTAGAATAAGGCTGTTTTCCCACTGAAGGAAGAAAGAAAAAGTTATCTGGTTTCTGCTGTTGTGGTGGCTGGAGATCGACTCAGAGATCACCTGATTCTCGTTCATTAGGGAACGGGTGTACAAAGAAAAGTCTATTTAAAGGACTTAGCACATACAGAAAGTATTTGCATGTCCATTGCAATTTACTACCACCTAGAGAAATTCTGCATATGTCCCTGACACATGGCCCCATCTGGAGATATTTCCAGTGCATGCAAAGGATACAGTTACCACAGATGAAGAGGATAATGAAATATATACAGACTATCATGCCTGATGATGATGGGCCACCATACGCCATTATGCCATCGTACATAACAGCATTCCAGTCTTCACCTGTTAGAATCTGCAAAGCACATGTGTTGTGAGTAACTCAACATCAAAAAGAGCAATAGAGAAATACATTTCCTTGACCACAATACACAATAAGGCTCACCTTCTGCATACATAAAGCAATACCATAATCTTTTCATGCATTGTTTTAAAATTTCCATTTACATAAGCATCTCCTGAAAGCTTGGGTTTAACTCTACTAGCTTTTATTTTATGCTACACATTTACATCACTGAACTTCAAAGGCAAGAATAATAAAAAATAGAAGCCTATAATGTTATTTATTTTGGCATGCAAAAGTAAGAGCTCTGACTTTCAGTAATGCCACATATGCAGTAATGCCCACAAATATTCATCACTCAAAAATCAAGTTAGTATAGAAGGTTCTCTTCTTTTGAAACAGTTGCCACAAAGCTCTTCTAGTGTCTGCCATTCATTAGCCCTGCAAATTGGCCTACCCAGCTTCAGTTTTAACAGGGACTGACCACCTTATCGTAAATTATATAATACACCTATCACACTTACACTACTGCTATAGCTTTTGAAATGGTAATTATTTTTAACTGAATGGAGCTCAATGCTGCAGGAGAACTACATGACTTTCTTATTGGCTATTGTTTCACATAATTTCACTGAAGTCTAAAAGAATTTTCTAAAATCTGTTCAGTTAAAAGGATAGTTTACAATGAGGCACCTCCACTTTTTCTGTACTACAACAAAAATTCTGACTATTACAATGCAGGTTATAGGGGCACTCTATATATTTCTAGGTAACTTCTTAAAAATTATCAGTTCTATCCTGAGTAATATTGACTCTCCTTCCAAGTAATTAAGTGGTTGTTCAAAAAAATTAAATGCATGCCAACTTCTGAAATTCAGTTTTGGAGAGCTAAACTCATCAAGCTGATTTTCATAGTTGTCAAGCACCCAACAGGTTGGTTGCTCCTTAGTGTATTCTGAAAATGAAGGAAGCCTCCTTCCTTTGAAAATGAGGCAGTCTAAAATCTGAATAAAATCCAGCTCATCTGAGTTTGAAAGTACAGCCTTCATTTTTTAAAGGGGCAATGTCAGGTCAAATGTGGACCCTTTTCCTCTTAAGGAAATTTCTCATTAAGATTTCCTTTATGTTAAAATTACATTGTAAGATTTTTTGCTTGCTCTGGGCAGTCATCAAATGGAACTTCTACCAAATAGACAGGAAATAGACACGAAGTTGAGTCTTCCAGGGTTAGCTTCAACCACTCACCTACACTGACTAAAAGCGAACATTGTGGTAATGTGCAAAGCTGCATGTGAAAATGGCTAGAAAGGTGAAACCAATCAGCCTCATCCCAGAATCCAAGTTGGGGGAAAAGAAAAGGATAATAAAACAGCAAAAAGTAAACTGTAAATATGGCCCTATCTTTTTACAAGTAAAGGACAAGCTGCTTTAAAATTTTAATAAACCTGACAGTGTATCTTTAAAGAAATTCATACTTATTTTTGTATTATAGTGAGTGATATGACACATATGCAAATATGCACTCTTACAATGCTTCTCTTTTCTTCCTGCTTGGGATTAGCTGAAATTTTATATAGCTAACAAAGTCAAAGAAAGCAATTTGATCAAAATAAAAATAACATTCCAGCTCTTTTTCTAGGCACGTATTTGATGGACAAAGGAGATTTAATTTTGTGAAGTAACATGACAGCTATGTTGCATAGATAGACCAAATAAGACATGAAACAAATGGTACAAATGGTGCAGAGTTACCAGAGTACTGAATTTAATGAGCAGAATGCTACTTAAAGTAAACTGAATAAACAGTATTTGCGATTTTATTTCAGGCAACTTGATCACTTAAACAGCTTTGTTGATCATCAAAGGTAAAATGTTTCATACGGGATGAAAGAAAGTTACCTGGAATACAGTTAAGAGAGCTTGTGGAAAATTATCGAAGGTGCTCCGTTTTGTTTGAGTTTCATCAAAATTAAATTTGCCTCCAAACAGCTGCATTCCAAGCAACGAGAAGATTATGATGAAGAGGAAAAGCAGAAGCAACAGTGAAGCAATGGACTTCATTGAGTTTAACAAGGATGCTACCAAGTTGCTCAGGGATGCCCAGTGCCTATAAATTAAAATGCGTGTGTTAACACACACCAAAAAAACCCCCAAACAAAACAGTAAAAGAGCAGCGCATGATGAAGTATTACAAAAGAATTGCTGATCACCCTTCAGCTACCCCTAAAGTTAGCAGTATTAGTTAATCTTACCTTGTTACTTTAAAAATACGCAGGAGACGAACACAGCGAAACACTGAAATTCCAAGGGGTGACATAATTTCCAACTCCACCAAAATGGTTTCAACAATGCCACCACAAACAACGAAGCAATCAAAGCGGTTAAAAAGAGAAACAAAGTAAGCCTGTAAGCCCAAGCTGTACATCTTTACTAACATTTCACAGGTGAATAAAGCCAGAAGAACTTTATTTGCGATATCTGGAACAAAATATTAAAAAAGAAAAGAAAAAGATATTCCTGAATTGTCGCATAGATTCTATTTTTTATTTTAACATATTAGTACTGTACATTCTACAGTAGTTCACAGCCTTTTGCTTAAGAAGGAAGTACTGCTTTTTCACAATGCTTAAGTGGCAAAAGTTACACAAGGGTATAAAGCTTCCTGCCACCTATAAACTATTCATCTGTCCAATCCGTTGGGCAGTTCACGGCTGCTCAACTCACAGCTTGAGTCAACACTGCAACTTAAGCAACACAGCCCACAGCATGTTCTGCTGTGCCAAGTACCATTTCCTTCCTCATCTTTCAAGCACAGTTTAACAATAAAAGTACAGGTATTTACAATTTAGTATTGTTAGGTTTTTGCTGGTATGCCATTAAGCTGTGTTACAGTTGTGGAAATCAAATACATTCAGACATTTCTTGTATCTCCCTTTGGCTAGGCTGTATATCCTTCATGACAGCAAACAACAAAATGTACAAAAGTAGCCACTGATAGAATGCAAGGATCCATAGTTAAAACAGGATAAATAATTTTTGATTGTACCTTGGATCTGGGTCAGCCAGTCAGGTTGATTATAATGCTCCGATGAGATAGTTAATGTGTTCAGAAAGACCAAGACAATAACAAGCCAATAAAATGTGACAGATTTTACTGCAGCTCTACACTTTCTTCGATTAAATCGATTCCAGCGACGCCAGCGTCGACTGAAAGTTCAAACAAAACCAAATTTATTATTATAGAGAAAATATGAACTGACAGAGGGTTTTTCCTGTGTAAAAAACATTGTGCAAGTATATACGTGTCAGCAGGTGTATTTTCATAAGTATGTGCACGATACTTCAGATAGTTGTGTAAATTATTACCAGTTGCAGATTAGGGAGTGCTAATTTGTTATTCCTTTTTTTAGATTTCATTATAGATTTTTAAATGTACAAACCCACAACTTTTAGAGACTCTAATTGCCTGTGACATAATTAGATTAAGATGCATTCAAAGAAAAAACAATGAAGCAACTTAGAATCAAATTACATTTAGTTTGAAAATGTAGGCTTTGAGTTAAACAACAGACACAATTCTGGCAGGGTTAAACAAGGCAGGAACATTGACATCAAGTTTTAGAAATCTAATGTTAGAAATCTCAGTCAGCGACTCCTAGAGGTTTCTACTGATGCGACCTGAAATTGTGTCAGTGGACAAATGTGTGTGAAATGAGTAATAGCAGCTTGAATCAAGAAGTAAACAGGCTCTACCTAGATATGAGTTGGATTCACAAGTGAGAGTATTAGCTTAGCTTTGGATTCATAAAACTAGGTCTAATTTTTTTGCTTCACTTTTAGTAAACCAATTAGTCTCCTTGGGTTGCATTGCCATTTGTGAAACAGGAAGAAAATAAGTTGCTGAGTCATAGGAAGAGAAGGATTAGAAAGCACTTGATATTACCTAAACAGGAGGCATATAGAATTCACACGCTCAGAATTGCAGCCATGGATTCAGATAAGAAATTTTAGGAACTGACAACTGCTTCATCCAAAATTCAAGGGACAAAGCAGGCACAGACTCCAATGGAAGCTTGACCTAGCCTTAAAATAGCAAAGAACTGAGAAGAGTGTGCACATATAAGCTTCTTCCCCTATAGTTTCACTATCAAGCCAGTCTAGCATAAACCTGCTGTGAGGGAAAGGGCTGGTCTGCCCTCCATATTCTATCATCTCCTTTCCCTTTTGCTAAAACTAGCTCTACTGAAGTGAAGCCAGATCTGAGAACTGACTGGTGGAAACCAATTTCTTTTCTTCTGGGTTGATTCCATTCATTGCATCACCACATCACAGAAAGAACAGGAAGAATGAGGGAAGAGCTGAGACAGGGGAAGGGCACTGCAGCTCTTCTGGCAGTACTAAAACATGGAACTGAGGCTTTGGAAAATTGTTACAAATAACTACATGGATTTCTTAACATTTTTAGTATTAGCAGCTATTGTATTTAGTATGAATAAAATCAGAAATGCTTTAAATATCCCTCAGAAAATAGAACCAATACGCAATAACACCACCATAAAAATAACTGAGCTTAGCACTGCATTCAAGCATCAACTGAGTTTTTGTTATACACCTGAAATTTGTACTTGTAGTAATGGAAATTAATACTGTTTTCAGATATTAGTTCAAAGATGTTTCAAGCCTTTGCAGTATTGTAACCATATAAGTGAAAAATATCCTGTCCTGACCTAAATCAACACGGTATTCAAGAACATTCTTATCTTCCTAGTCCCCTGCTAAGCAGTGCTATGTCCATGGCCATCACCAGGATGGCTCACTCCCCGGTTAGGTAAAACAGCCGTTTTTACGCTTACAGAACATCATCTCATTGAAGTCAATGAGACAAGAATAATACTGTTTGAATATCTCTACTCACAGGAGCCAAAACCAGCCTCAAGTGTATAACTTGGCTCTCTGAAGCCAATGAGGTGCGCTTTTTTTTTCCCACGAAGTTCTGTGGAATCAGTGACAAAACCCTATAGCTAAGTGGTGAACATATGAAAATGCTGCCAAAGGGTGTGCAATGCAACTCACATGTAGAAGTGTATTAATAATATAAGCATATGTAAAAAGCCTACAGAAATAAAGCAAAATTTCAAAAAGGAGAATAAGAGTGATTTTCTACTTTCATTAGATTGATAAAAGTAAAGAAATAAACAGTAAGTAGCAGACTGAAGTAGATGGCCTGTTCTGCCAGGAAAACCTGCGGCTACACAAAAGTAGGAAAACAAATTACACTATTTTCCCTCAATAGTTTCTATTTTTTAGTAACCACCCCTCCTAGTTTTAACCAAACAGCATAATTTTTTCTGGAAGAACAAAGTGTACCTTTTTATTTTGAAGAGAAATTCCATTTTCAAAAATTTGCAATTATATAACATTGCTTTAATGAAATTATCAAGCATTTTTCACAAAATATAGTAGTTGAATAAACATTAAAATCACAGAGGACACTTACAGTTGACATAGTTTGTTAGAACAAACCGAATTATTCACTGCTTTTGTTCTCATTAAATAATTTATCATTTTTTTCTTCAGAGCTATGTATGAGCAAATCATTATTCTTACAAACGTGTTCCAGATTTCACTTTTATTGACTCAGGTATTCATGTTTAGGTGGTCCTTTAGGCCTTGGTCTTAAATTTGAATCCACACATGGGGAATCCAGCCTTGCATTTAGTCTGACTGAACTCAGTGTTAGTCAGTCATGCAGAATCTATGAAGTTTAGTTTGTTTACTTGCTATTCATGCATGTTTGTGTATTGCTACTAGACCTACACAAAGGTAGGAACATTAATTTTCATATTATTTCCTATCAGCAGCCTTTCATTACATGGTGTTTTTCTAAACTGGACTTTCTGTTTAGAACCATATGCATAACCCCTGTATCTGCGAAACCGGCATGCCTCATATTTTCACCAGTAAGCTCACAGAGAAGTAAACATTAATGCCCAGGATTAATTCTTCTATAATTGTGGGTGCTATCACTTGTGCAGAAATCTTAGACTTCACTATTAATTTATAAAATACGGGACAGCAGAACTGCACCAGAGTGCTCACTTCTTATAAAAAAACAGAAGCCTTTGAGGTTATTTTTCCATTCCTCTTTTTCATAGTTATAGGATTCAGAGCACAGTATCAGCTTTTTGGCATGACTTGAAGGTTAATGTGATCATATAATCATACTGACGAATAAGGGACTGAATTCTTAAACAGAGGGATCTTTAGAGAGACACTTCAACTAGTAGATCTCCATCTTCCTCTAATCATAGCTCTGTCATTTTCATGTGAGGAGAAAAAACAGTTGTTCTAGTATCAAAACATTTCAAATTCCACCTGGAAGATCACAAATACACAGCACAGATCATATTTACCCATATATATCCTAGCGCAATGTGTGGTTAATAAACACCTTCACTTAATAAGCTGGCAGATAATTGCTATATTGTAATTCTCTTCATCAAGTACCCATTTGACTGTACAGAAACATATTTACAAGGATTAACTTCTATTTTAACTTGCGGTACAGCAGGTAGGCTATCTTGCAATAAGAAGCATTTTCTATTTTGATCCAAAGGCAAAGATGTTTGGATCAAAATCCTTATCCTTGGTAAGCTATGCCCTGATTTACTTTGCCCCGAAACAGTGTGCCACCATTGCAGAATAACATTCCTGAAGTTGGAGTAAGGATCAGGCCAGAAGAGTGAGAATTAGACCAAGATTCAGCATTTGGCTTAGACTGTGCTAGGATGTCCCTGACAGCTGAACACATAATCTAGGGCTTTGCTGCAAAACTGGGAGTTTCTGTATTTTAGGTAAACAGAGCATTTTAGAAACTGGCAATTTCAACAAAAAACACCAAATTTACATTCTTCTGACATATCAGAAAAACGGATTTTGCAAATATGAGATGTTAGGTGCCCAGAAGCAATGGGATGAGAACCATGAGCCTGCAGATGCTTATAGAGATAGAAGAGCAAATACACTCTGTTCTTAGTGGCATTGCGAAGTCAGCAGCTCTTCACAGTGCTTTTTCTCTCTGAAAACAGATTTTGTCAACTGTTTTTAGGGATCTGGGACACAGTGCATGCCACATCTGTTTGTAAGACAATGGCACAACCATAATTTTGAGCTCTGTTGTCTCAAAACTACTTCTCACATGGACTCAGTAAGATAAAAGGAACAGATCTTTCTCCAATGCTACGAGTAAAGACGTGAAAGTTGCAGGGGGAATCCTATTACGAAATTCAGCCTTAAAAGTTTAAGTATGACTGAAGACTTCAAGCAGCTACAGATCCCTGCAGCTCTTCCAAATGAGACACCAACATCCCATTGCCAATTGCCACAACTTCTGTGAACAGATGCAGCAATACTCGTATGAATGAACTTCTATATGGCTAGTGTTTTTTAATGCCACGAGAACAAATTCTGATCAAAGAGCTCATGCAAAAGACATTTAGGACAAAATTTAGTGGCAAAATCTAGGCAGCTGGAGATACTTTGGTGAATCTCTGGCTTGCGAATAAATATTCTTTCAAATTGATGTGTTGATTATGAACATTGATTGTAAAGATAGATAGCACTGACTACTTCTTACTCACTGCTTGGACTATTAAAAACATCAGGTTTGGGTAGAAATTGTCCTTTCTCAAAGATGATGTAGCAGCTTTCATTTTACAGATCTTCTGGAGTTTTCTTTTTCCTCAAAATATGAATAACAGGCATGGTTCAGAACGTAGACATTGCTTTGCTTTCTCTATAATGCTTCTTTGAGTCCACCACTGTGCAAACAGACCAAACTTGGAGAAAGTAGTATAATGGCAGTCTATTGCACTGCCTGGTATTTGAAGTTTCACGCGACCACTTCATATTCGAGTTTCTCCTTTAAAACCAGCATGAGTAGACTTCATAGCAATAAATAGTATGCTATAAGGTTGATTGGAGACAATCTCATGATTCAAAATAATCATGCCTGTTTGAGATTCTCAGCTAATGAAACACTAAATGAATTGTTCCATTTGTCCTACTGTTATGGTAACTGGAAGCAATGGCAAGAAAAATTACAGACCATTAGGCACACTGAATTGCTTCTCTTTATTAAACTAAAAGCAATCCCATCTCTCATAATTTGCATGGAGGGTTAAGCTCAATGTCCACATGGACATAGC